GCATGACCAAGGAGAAGCGAGCTTCCTTACGACAGCTGTCAAACGAAATATTCTTCGGATTGATCAGTAACCCACCGAAGACTGTCGCCGAAATTTGCTTTCGAAACATCTACACTTGAGAAGACACTTGAGAAGACACTCGACATGCGGACACGGCAATATAACTTCTAAGCTACATTCATCGACATACGAGCGCTAGGAACTACCAACCTGTGTGAGACAATCCGAGCGATCGTGCAAGAGGAGCTACGAAAATTGCTACGTTCAGCGCAGCCTAAAGTGGACTCCATCGCGAAATGTCGTACTCTAGGAGATCCAGCAAGCGCTGGGCATTCCTCAGCTTCCAGAGCAGCAGCTGCAAGCTATGAGCTATGCTGAAGCAGCCCTATGGCAGTGCTCCTACAGAATTTTGACAGCGAGAACAAAAGGCGATAGAGACAAGTCAACGAAATGCTACGGACGACATAATCTAGCTGTCCAAGAGCCCCTGGGCGTCTACCTTGCTGTTGGTGAAGAAGGACGGAACCCTACGTTTCTGCATCGACTATCGTCGCACTAAACGAAGTGAAGAGCTATGCTGAAGCAGCCCTATGGCAGAGCCCCTACAGAGCTTTGATGCGAGAACAAAAGGCGATAGAGACAAGTCAACGAAATGCTACACGACGACATAATCTAGCTGTCCAAGAGCCCCTGGGCGTCTACCTTGCTGTTGGTGAAGAAGGACGGAACCTTACAGTTTCTGCGTCGACTATCGTCGCATAAACTAAGTGATGAAGAAGGACGTGTATCCCCTCCCACGGATAGACGACACCCTGGATCGACTCCACAACGCAAAGTACTTTACGTCGGTGGGCCTCAAGACTGGCTATTGGCAAATTGAAGTCAACAAGACAGACCGAGAGAAGACTGTGTTTATAACACCAGACTGCCTCTTCAAGTTCAAGGTCGGGCTCTTCGGTCTTTGCTCGACATCCTGAGACTTTTCAATGCGGTATGGGTACAGTGCTAGCAGAATTTAGGTGGAAGACTTGTCTTGTTTACTAAGACGATGTCGTCTTTTCCTCGATCTTTGACGAGCATCTTCAGGGCCTTCAGGCTGTATTTCAAGACATCAAGACATTCGGACTCACCCTGAAGCAATGCAGATTCGCACACGAGCAGCTCTTGTTCCTGGGACACGTGATTAGCAAGTCTGGAGCCTGTCCCGACCCGTAGGAAAACAGCTGCAATCACCAACTTCCCATTGCCTACCGTCAAAAAGACTATGCGCCAATTTCTTGGCCTGTGCGCCTATTACAGGCGGTTTGTCAAAAACATCGCCCGCGTTACCGAACCACTCCCTACCCTTATCAGGACAGACGTGGAGTTCCAAGTGGGAAACGCCACAGGAGGAAGCATTTCAGAAACTGAAAATAAGCCTGCAGACGCCTTCATTACTTGCGCATTTCGATACACACCAACGCAAGCCGCGTAGAACTCAGCGCTGTTCTTGTGCAGAGAACTAACCTGATTAGAAAGAGTGATCAGTTATGCTAGCCAGTTGCTCTCAAAGGCACAGGCCAACCACTCCACAACAGAAAAGGAATGTCTCGCCATCATCTGGGCTACATCAAAGTTCTGGCCCTGCCTTTACGACAGGCTCTTCAAAATTGTGAGCGACCACCGCGCCTTGTGTTGGCAAACTTGAAAGAGCTTTTGGGGCGCCTTGCACAGTGGAGCCATATACTTCAGGAATTCGACGTTACCGTCGTTCACAAGTGTGAAGAAAACACTCAGACACCGACAGCCTATCTCATGCTTCCATCGAACCGCCTGCGCCGGGCGACCCGAATGATGAACGTTTCTTGGAAACCATGAGTGCCGACGACTTCGCCGAGCGACAACGAGCCGACCTGTAACTGAAGAGCGTTGTGCGATTCCTCAAGGATAACAGCGCCACTTTTCCAAAGGTATTCAAGAGAACACTGGAGTCGTTCTTCCTGCAAAACTGATTTCTCCTAAAGAACTTCTCGCCCCTTTGAGCTAAACACCTTCTCGTGGTTCTCTCAGTAGTGAGACCATAAGTCCCCCAGGCCCTACACGATGATCTGACGGCTGGACATCTTTTTGTTTCCCATACGCTCGCAAGAATACAGAAAAAGTACTGCTGGCCACGACTTACGGCCGACGTCACTCGTTACATCAGGACATGCCAAGAACGCCAACAACGAAAGACATCGCCAAAAAGACCAGCACGCTTCCTTCTGCCATTACCACCTCAACGACCGTTCCAGCAAATCGGTAGGGACCTACTGGCACTGTTTTCTATGTCGACTTGCCGGAATAAATGGACCGTTGTCAACACTGACTATATCACCTGCTACGCCAAAACAAGGGCTTCACCTGAAGGCAGTGCCGCCGTAGTAGCCAAGTTCTTCAGTGAGAACATCGTCCATCGTCATGGTGCCCCAGAGCTTCTCATCACCGATAGAGATATGGCCTTTACTGCTGATTTCACTCAGGCAATCTTGAGACATAGCCAGACAAGCCACCGCCACATCCCTGCCTACCACCCACAGACCGAGTAGCTAAACAAGACAATCACCAACATGCTGGCCATGTACGTCGCTGTAGAACACAAGACATGGGACGCCATCTTTCTATACGTGACCTTCGCATATAACACGGCCGTCCAGAAGACGAAGATGCCGCCGTACGAGTTGGTCTAAGGAAGAAACCTGGCAAACAACGCTTGACGCAATGCTCCCCAATGTCGCGGATGAAGAAAACCTAGACGTCACCTTCTATCTTTAGCACACTGAAGAAGCTCGTCAACTTGGCCGCCTAGGCATCACTAATCAGCAGACGACCAACCGCCGCCATTACAATCTTCGATGAAGCTTCATGGAATACCAGCCCGGTGACCATGTTGGGGTATGGACGCTGATACGTCGACGTGAGCTCAGTAAAAAACTTCCGCGACGATACTTTAGACCGTACCGGGTGGTTTGACGTCTCGGCACACTCGATGACGAGGTTGGCCCCGACGACATCACGAACTCTCATCGGCGGCGTGCGCAAGCTGAAGTAGTTCATGCGTGCGCCTCAAGCCATTTCATGCGCGTTAATAAATTGAGGACTGTGTTTTTTGTTGTTGTTTCTCTGTTATCCTGCTTTATTGTTTGTACCTGCTTATTATTTTGCTTTTCTTTTTGCTTTACTGTTGCTATTTTTATTGTTCATGTATTTCCTCCCATGTTCAGTTCAGTTTTAAGCATTGGAATGATGCTTTTTCAGAGGGGGCAATGGCACGTGCGTTTCTTATTTACACTTATGTTTCATTCGATTTTCGCCCACAAAGCCTGTCTGGAATGCTCTCACACATGCATCCTGGGAAGTATCTGCCTTGAATGGCAGCAAGTTTGAGAGGGGAAAGCCCCTTGGCAACCCACGCACCCTCGCTTGCACATAATATGGCATTGTTTTGCTTGAGACAAAAAGGCTGGGAGAATCGAGGCAGCTAGGAGCTTATAGTCTCAAAACACCATGCACACTGCCACCACCACTCGTGGAGAGCAACAGGATGGTTGGCTGGTATCGCCAAGCAAGAACAGCACAGAAGTCATTCGCTGGCAGTACAAAGCGAGGGCCACAGTTAAACAGGTTGGCATAATCCCTTTCATTATACTTGTTAACAGTAGCTCTGCAGCTCCCAATCCTTCTGTTTTGTCTTACTAATGCAGCACAGCTGTAAGATGAGCCGTGTTGCCTTGAGTAATTTTTCAATTTTCTACTGACCCTTACTGTACAGCACTACAGTGCAGTCTACTGCTACTGGGAGCGTTCCAATGCAAGCCCCGAATAGTACTGCCAACATAACTGCGAGAGTTCACAGAAGGAGCTTCTTGCAATACATGGGTGTATTGAAAGGAGTACACTCTGCCCAACACAAGGGATCTGGTGCAAATCTACGTAAGTTTCCTCTCACAGGAATGGCATCCAGACGTGCCCAACTTGCAAGTAGTATACTCTTCAACAGTGGACTCCCCTGTACATTGAACACCATGTAGTTGAAAGACGCTCGCCCCAGTTATACCCCTTTAAACAATGGCAAGATTTTGTGCGCTTAGGGCAAATTTCTTGAGCGGTTTCCTAACTGAAAGCCCATAAAACCTTGGCAAATCACAGCAGATCAGTGATTAAACAATTATTGGGACACTAGAAGCAATAATGAAAAGTATATTTTTCAAATTATTGAAGTACTCTTTCAGAATACCATTATCCCAGGCTCGCTGTAAGAAATCATGAAAAATGAAAATGCAGCTGAAGAAGCCCCTAGCGTAAGCAATTGCAATGCGATGGTCTACCAAGGCCTACGCAGTTGCTAGGTAATCAAAAAAAATTAAGCACGTTGCCTTCAGAAGCAATGTGCTGGAGTTTGATTTGATTGATTGATATGTGGGGTTTAACGTCCCAAAACCACTATATGATTATGAGAGACGCCGTAGTGGAGGGCTCCGGAAATTTAGACCACCTGGGGTTCTTTAATGTGCACCCAAATCTGAGCACACGGGCCTACAACATTTCCGCCTCCATCGGAAATGCAGCCGCCGCAGCCGGGATTCGAACCCGAATGTGCTGGAGTTTCATTGAGCCATAGTGGCCAAAATACAAAATAATTACAAAACCCGCAAGGCCATCGCATATTTCATTGGAAAATTAAAAAGCAAAACTTTCAAAGCTGGTTATTTCTGTTATTTCAGTTTCAGTTTTATTGAGCATTTTCTTCACAGAGTTGCGAAAAAGAAAACGCAAGGATAAGAGCAAAAAACTGCTATTATTAGCAGCTTGACGAGGCTCCTACCCCTCCTATCCTATGTTGTTAATTCTATGTTAGTGAAATATAATCAGTCTGAGTGTATAAACTATCAGTCTAAACTATAATTGTTTTTTCACTTTGTTGCCCTTCAAGGCAAGCAAGTGTGCTGACAAAGGGCCATACGAAAGAAGCAGTAGCTCACTGTCAAGGTTGCCGTCAGTTGCTCTATCCAAAGCGTGGAGCCCCGTTGCCCCATTCTCGATGGCTGAAGGCGACAACCAATGCAGTGCTCTGTCTGCCAGTCTCCCAGCACCACGAAGCTGGAATGGCTTGCTGGAAGGAGCGTCTTCCAGAGCACAGCGCAACAGACTGGGGAGCAACTCGTTGGGAGAAGCGACCTTGCGCTGAATATCCGCAGGACGGGTCAAAGGAGACAAGCCTTTGCTGTTGGAGGGTTCCAAAGCAGCTGCATTCGTAGAGCAGATCGTGAAACTCTCCCCGAATGCGGGGACGCTCGGGGACAGCTGCAACGGTGTGCTAGTTCCCAGGGAAGCAGCTGCCAGTTGCTCTTCGACCATAGATAGCTCGTTCTCCAACCTGAAATTTCAGAATGAATGCAATTTGCATACAACGCCGATTAAAGGTGCCCTCTACATTTCAGGGAAATATCTAAAGAAGCCCGCTCAGCCAGAAAAGAACACTGAACATTTGTACATACGACAACACTTACTGAAAGTTTCAAGCCTGTTTGACGAGCCACAATGACCTTAGTGTATACTCTGCAGTACTCCCCATTAATGAACGCAAAAATTTCTGTAGACTGCTTGAGGCCAGCTTGGCCAGACTTTGGCAATGCAGCATGAAGAGCTCAAGGGCAATGCCTTCATCACTAAGGGAATCCATGTGCTGTGCATCCGCGGTGAAACGCTAAAAAGAGCGACAAGCTTAAAGGTTGTGGCCATGACATCAGCTTTAGTTACCCAGCTACTCAAGGTGATCGTTTTCGAGGCTTTCATAACTCAGAAGTCACACGAGAAACATCCCGCCCTTGTCACGTGTCACTAATGATGAGTAGCAATGACATCTTTTTCAGTTATACACAAAAGTGCTTTATGCCGGGGTCCACCAAGACTTCAGTGACGTATTTCCATCCCGGAAATTACATAAAAAAACACACAATCACAGAGCAAAGAAAAAAAAAAAAGTTTCGTCAACAGGAGTCGAACCCATCACTTTTCAATCAGCCACAACAAAGGCCGGGCACTTAAAAAACAGAGCTATTTTTACATGCTGCTTAATAAGCATGTACTCTTATTCCAAGTCCTGTCTTGCATTCAGGCCATTTTCTGTACACCTGCACAATATAAAACTGCTTTTGTGCTATCTAAATTTTCATTTCACTCTGCTTCTTTTTGTAAAGAGATACTAAACTCAGGTGTCAAATCAACAGGCTGACAAATTATTCATGTAAATTAACATTTTGAGTCACTGCAGGCTTGTTATTAGAGAAGGATGTGAATGTAACATGCTTGAATGTCAAGTAGAAATGTCTCGAACTGTATATCAGGGTTGCACCACAAATTTTGCCACATTGACTCAATGAGTACAATTAAACCCCTTTATAAGAGGCATGCTCTGGGCAGCAATTCTTTTCTCTTATATAAGATGTCTTTTATAAGCAGGGTACCTCGTATCCATTTTTGTATCCACCCCTATTTTACTATACGCCCACTGGTGTCTCTTATACCCATTTGTTTCTTATATCAGAGTCAATTTCGCGAAAGCTAGTTATAGCCACTGATCTCTACTAGGGGAAGCTGGATGGCACATCGAGTACGCGTGGTTGAAGCCACTGGATAACGCCATTCGTGTCCCGGAAGCCACCGCTACGAACAGTATACAGTATACATATTGGACTCATTCCAATACGACATCATCATGGCAAATACAGTAGACTCGTTATAATTAAAACTCTGATAATTCATATTTTCAGTTAATTCAAGCAGAATTCTATTTTTTGGTTGGCCCTCTATTCTTTCAGTGTATTTAAAATATCCTTAATTCAAACTCCATCATTTGGTTAATCTATACTTTTTGCAGTTCCATACCAGAAAATATCCGCTGCTTTACCACTACTATTAAATTTGCATGCTTTATAGTACAATAATAAGTCTAAAAATGAAAAATTAACGCTTCAGGCCTTCAAGGAAAAAGGCTTTGATAGTAAATGAATGTTTCAAGCGAAACACATGCATGGTAAACTGTGATTCTTCTCAACTGATATAGAGAGCTTTGTGCTGAAGGCACATATAGCAAGGAAGCAGTTGGCAATTCAAGATTTCTTTAAGAGATATCATCAGCAGTAAATGGCCGATAAACTTATGAACCTTACACCTCTGCTTTCTGTTCATTACAAGCAGTTGGGGTTCAAAAACGCTTAAGTTTTTTGGACACCACACATTATGCCTGGACACCACACATTATGCCTAATCATAATGTGTGGTGTCACAACACCCACAGTCATATCTGAGAAGTTCTGATAATTAAAACATCTTGATAATTCAAACAAAATTAAGAGGTCCCTTTGAGTTTTAATTAACAAGAATCAAATGTATGTCTCTGTACAGCTAGCATCTGTATGCAAAAAAAGAAAAAGAAAAGCAGAATACAAATACTGTACGGCCAACTTACATAAATTCCATCAGCATGACCTCCAGTAGAGGTTCTGAACTTCGGCCCCCAGTTGGAACCATAGATGTGCACACAGTGACTTCAAGTGATTCGCATTTTAACCCTCTTGTAAGGACAAGAGCTACTGACCGAGCAGACGACTATTAATTGAGTACTGGCAGCTTAACTAATGCTGCCAGTCACAGGGCACACGTTGCATCATTTGCATGAAATGGCATTCATCTTGCACGTCATTGTGGTTCTGTGTTCCCGGTCTGAATGGGTGTACAAATAGCATTCGCAATATATGTTAATGTTTGTCGCCAGTGTTGTGTGCGTTTTGTTTCCTATTATTACCTTGTCAATGAAACTGCAGAGTTTGCTTCCCTGCCTTGTGGATGGATAAATGTCATGTGCGAAATTCCGGCTTTGCTGCTGCAGTACTGCTTTACCGAAACCACATGGAGGAATCCAAAAAAGAACAAATGCACGTTTGTACATGGTAGGAGGCACTGGTGTCATGTCGGACTCAGCGAAACAAGAATAGCTGCACAAAAGGTTGCTTCAACTATCGTGCTGTAGGACAAAAAGTTATCACAAAATTGGCAATGGCCATTGATAAAAACTTTCACTTTCGTTATAATTTAGTGACAATTGTTGATTTTGCAATTTTTGTAAAGTGCCACCGATCGCGATTACAAATGTTGCACCTGCAGAGTTTAGCAAATGCATTCAATGGGTGAATGCCATCAGCTGAGAATGCCGTTCACTGTACCTGCGTAGCAGCAAAAAAAAGGGGGGGGGCATCGATTCCTGAATGACATTACCTGTGCTGTGTGATAGGGGTATAGACCTATTCCGTGTTTGTAAGCAGCAGTAGGTGCCGTCTGCATACTGAAGCTCTTGTAGCGACGTCACAGCATGCGAGCTCCGTCCAGTCCAAAGCTCACCATTGCAGCCTAAGATCACGTGACAACTGGCACAGCAGCTGCAAAGCTGCCTCCAAGCACAGTGCATCAAGGAGGAGCGTCTCGTGTGCACGTAACGTCACTACAAGCCCCTCAGTACGCAGGCAGCACCTACTGCTGCTTACAAACATGGAACACGTCTAAAGCTTCAATTTGTGCACCTCTCACTTGACAGAGAGGAGGAAAAGAGGTCGCTTAGCTGCAGAGTCACCAGGATGCAAGAAATGGGAAGAAAGCAGAGAAGCAATGAAACAAATGGCATGGAGACATCACCGAACACATGTATGTCACTTTGTGTAACGATGCTCAGTTCCACAGAAATCGTACAATGCAGGATATGCGCACTAGTGCCATTACATTTCACAATAGGAAAAGTGTGTAACATCAATGCTCATCTACCACCCAAACCAAGTTGCACACTGAATAGCGTTGCTCAAAAAACCGAAGGAAGTTTCACAGGAGAAGCATGCTTAGGGACTTTCAAGGGATCTGAAAACAATTCCAGCTTCAACATCAGGGCTTTCCGAAGGTTTAAAAAGTTGATACGCATCGAACTACGCATCCTGCAAAGGACCGACATTTTTAAAAAGCGATTTCTGATTAAGAAGCGCACAAAAGAACACTGGGATGAAGCAGAGTGTGTCAGGCAGGGTTGTCTTGTGTGTGTGTCTCTCCTTCGTCCCCGTGCTTATTTGCACGCTTCCTAATCTTGAACCAATTCCAACTAGGCCAAATAGCCGTGTTGAATAATGTCGTATTATCATCAAGTATCTTACAAGGTGTCCTTTTTCTTGGAAGTCTTTTCCTCAAAAAGCTTGCACCGAGGCGTGCCAGTCAGGTTGAGCTCGGGGCTGCTAAGGGTGAAGTCAACGAGTGTGATTTGGCTAGTGTCGACGAGGGGCGTGGTGGCCAGTGACTCCAGCCGGTGCACAATGTGTTCAGCCTCTCTCACCACCATGGACTGGCTCATGGGGGGAGTCTCCGGTGTGGCCAGCATTTCACCAGTGCCGGACTTCCTGCATCAGACAATTCACATCCCCTTATGGTCTGTCATGGATGGAGCCACATTCTCTCCATCGAATTTGAAACATTTTATGACGACATCAATATTGAATAGGAGCACACAACAAAAGCCCTTCGCCATGCCATTAAAAGCAGTCCTTCAAACGTGCCCACACGCTCATATAACGCCCCACTCACAACAGAGATCCTTGCATTGCTGAAGAAGAAAAACCTCTGGTACTACAAGTGGAGACAGCACAAAGAAAATAAATATTATTTAGGCTAATTTAAACTATTAAGAAATCAAACCATGAATCTTGTGAAGCAACAAAAGAAGGTCTATTATTCTCGACATATTTTCCAAGCACAAGGCGATTCTAAGAAAACGAGCCAAATTGTAAAAGAAGTTGTCGGTAAAAAACCAATACAGCGTGTATCACCTGATGTAGTCGATGCACATATACTTGATAAATTTAATTTATTCTTTACTGAAATTAGTTCAACCTTAGCTGCAAAGTTCCCTCGTAGCGAAATAAAATGTTTTTCATCCTCCTTATCAAATACATTTGCTCTTCACTACATCAGAGAGGATGAAGTTCATGACACTGTTGCCAATATAAGCACCAACAATGCCAGTCGTCTAGTTGGTATTGCAGCTCGCTTAGCGAAAGATAACATAGATATTTTGAGTTCCATCTTGTGTCACGTATTTAACCATTGCTTGCGTACATCAACGTACCCATCCTGTTTAAAAACACTAAGCTTTTGTTTTAGAAAAGGTCTCAAGTCAAGTGCAGGGATTTGTATTGATGTATTGGCAGCAGTTGAGTTGAATCCGCCAAAACGTCTCCTTGTATCTCGCAGTGGTCTGGCACCCAGCAGAATACGACGTGTATTGAGTGCGTACATCATGCATATGACAGTGTAGAGGGAAACAAGGATGGGGATTTTTTGCTTTTTTTTTTTAAGGGCTTTCACCTCACTCAGGGAATCTGTGTATATTACTGCACTTTGTAATTTTAGTTGTTCATGAGTTTAATGACTGCCAATATAGCCTAAGCTTTTACTGTGAAAATGCTGGTGTTTGGATGCAGAATACCAGAATCTGAAAAAGATGGACCGACTGCTGCGTAGGAGACAGAAGTACGTAGTTTTTGAGGCATCAGCATAGAATTCTGAGCATGAGTATTTTGCTGCAATTCTAGGAAGTGCGTACAGATATGTGCAATGGATGGGTGCTTGGTAGCTTCTACAAAAGATATACCGCAGCCTATGAGCTGCCACTGCCAATGCGAGACATATGCAGTGTTGGCAGCCAAACAGTGTTCAAGAAGCGGCACGCCCGTTTCTATGGCTAGACCCCTCACACAAAGTGCATAGGGCTGTCTGATGACAGGGCGGTGGACAAGAAGGACAGAACTCCACAAGACATAAATAGTGGAGCGTACGGGGTGTTCTTTATTCACATTCACGTTGTAGGAAGTAGACAAAAGATCGGTACGATCATTGGAGATGCAGCGACCACTCGTTCGAGTCAACGTACAGACCATCCACGGGGCTAGTGCAAAAACCACCCGTGTAAAGACGAATGTCTATGTGACGGATGGGGTCAAGCATCTTTAAGGCTGTTGGTGTCGCAGACTGATAGGTTATGACCCTGTAATCTAGGGGTGCCCGTATGAGGCTTCTATACTAATTGATCAAACACTTTTTTTTTGTCGCCACCCCAGGCAGAGTGCGATGAGACTTAGAATGTTCATTTTTAAATACTTATATGCGGTATAAAGGTTTGCTTCGTGTTCAAGATTAGGCCTGATAATTTATGTTGTGTTTACAGAAAGACGCTGGCCATGCAGTTTGATTAAGCATGTCATCTTGTCTTTTTTTCTGTAACATATATATATTAGCATAATAAACCAGTTCAAAATCTGCGCTCGTTCTCGCTCTTTGTGTTCGTTGTCTGAAATTTTCAGCGCTGAGAAGTTTAATAACGAATTACCAACTAGCCCAATTCCCCACTTACCTTATCACTTCCGTTTGAATTATTGACGGCTTTCCACTTGAGTAGCGTGAAAAGCTATGAAGACGTAATTGCTAAGGTCTATGACGAGTATATGTTGTTAGCGATGTTGTAATATGATAGCATTTTGTGATTAGAGAGGCATGCACCAGAAGAGAAAAGCAATTTTTCGATTAGACCTTGCGCATAGCAGCGGGAGTCTCCCCATAAATTGCTATGTGCGTTGAAGTCACCAAGGAGAAGATACGGCTCTGAAAGTTCATCCATTAGAGACTGAAATTCGTGTTTATTCGGTTGATCATGTGAAGGTACGTAAATACAGAAAATTGTCACTAGTTTCTTGAAGGCAACAGCTCGAACAGCTACTGCTTCACGAGATGTTTGAAGCGGTAAATGTGTGCAGACTGTTCTTCGATTAACTATAATGGCAACCCCACAGGATAATGCGACCGCATCATCACGGTCCGCAACATCTTGGTCAATGAAGCGGTGCCGGGCCAGCATACGTCATCGATGGTCGCATCTTATCTGGACATGTGCCGTATTAAGAAAGGAGTAGAGGGGGCAGAGTGCCGAGAGCAGGGCCACTCAGCCGATGCAATACAGCACTGCTTCCAGAGAGCAAGTAAGGAGGAATATACCGCACAATGTCAAAACATTCAAAGCCTCAGCATTCACTGTGGGAAAGCAGCAAAGTACACCTAACATCTGCCGCTGGCATGTGTGCCACTACCTGTTGTGTAATAACAAATCCAGTCCAAATAACATATCGTTGCTGCTTGTATATATAGCACAAATAGGGCCAATATCAGCGATGTCAGGACTATGCATGGGTGCTGTCCTAGCTCATCGGCTGAAGGGAGATTGAAGCAAATACGTTTTTAAAAGTCATGCAACTCTCGTCGTACTGTGACCTTTCAGGTGAAAGAACTACAAACTGCTCCTGGCTCCTCTGAGTGGCCCAAAAGCAGTCTACCACTCGATGACAGTGCTCCTGCTCCCATTCAACAACTAAAGATGGAGGCTCCAAAAAGAGAACTTTCATCGTTCTCCCAATACAATTTGCTAATGAAGTAATGAAGACACACAACACACATTTCATTGCTGTGTTTTTCCGTGTCTTTGTTATGTGTCCCTGCACTACATCACAATTACCAGCAAGCACCACTTGGCCCAAGAACCATTTCTTTTATGCCTTGATGACTCACTCTACTCGATGAAGTTTATTCCTCCTCTTGGTATTCGAGAATTTTGGGAAAGTGTCTAGTAACTATGCATAAATGAAGCCGAAAAGTTTACTGTGGCATGACAGTCTTCTGCAAAACGCACACAAAGAATGGGTGGCTACACCAGAGGAAATGAGCCAGCTAATAAGCAACTGCGTGTAAAACCAGGCTGCTGTGCTCAGCCCAACAGGCAACTCCACGAACTGCTCGGCAATGGCCTCTTCCATGTTCCACCAATCTGCCACTATAGAGAAAGCTGCCACATAATGCCCATAATCTCATCTGCCCACCTAGCTTTCTGCCTCCCCTTGCACACTTTCCCTTCTGTTAGAATGCACTCGGTTACTTTTCATGAGCAACAGCACAAAAGTGCTGTCTTGCCCATGTGCCCAGTGCATGTTCATTTCTTCTTGGTATTTGCTTCAAGAACGACAAAAGCAGAAGGAAAGATTGATTGATTTGTTGGGTTTAACATCCCAAAACCACCATACGATTATGAGACGCCATAATGGAGGGCTCCGGCAGTTTCGACCACCTGGGGTTTTCTAACGTGCACCCAAATCTGAGCACACGGGCCTACAACTTTCCACCTCCATCCGAAATACAGCCGCGGCAGCCGTAATTCGATCCCGCGACCTACGGGTCAGCAGCCAAGTACCTTAGCCACTGGACCACCGCGGCGGGGCAAAGCAGAAGGAGAGCCAGGGAGCCTTTTCTTTAACAAGTTTTCGTCCAGTCGTCGCCATGTTCGCATTAAAGAACAAGTGATGAAGCAAGCAGCCCATCGCAAGATGCTCCCGCGACACCCCATCGGCCAATCAACGGTCAAAAGCAGAACATGTTTCTCCTTCACAGAATATGTGTACGTCCACCAAGCGTGTGACTACCCCACCCAAGTAAACTAGAACCCCCCACTCGCAAACGCTTACCTTTCTTCCTGCCTCGCCATAAACAGCGATGCCAGAAATGCAGTTTCATGACGCATACCGCAAGGCCTTTTTAAAAGTGAAGCATTTTTTTGCGTACTGCAAACACTTTCCGCGTTTAAGTATCCATCTATATATTTATCTATCTGTCTAGGTATCTATCCATCTAGTTGCTTACCTCTGTGTGATCTCGTGATCACACCTTAGCTTCACAGTGAACCAACATAAGTATGGAAGGCTAAGATGATTTGATGAATATAATGCCCGGTCAAGACATAAATAATGTCACAGCCCTCTTGTGTACATCGTGAAACATTTTCCGCCCGACAATTGAATATAACCCCCTTAGCGTATGTGCGACTGGTATGCAAGTATATGCCACAGGTGATTGACACTCAGTATCTATCCAGGAACGACAAGAACACACATGGGTAATTCTAACGTGCGAGCATTAAGAAAAGCCCGAGATCGGCAGTGTCGCCCCGCGACTCCAGAGAATAAATGTCAGGGTCCCAGCAGGAATCGAACCCCCGACATTATCCAGTGGCAATCAAGCATTCTACCACACAGCCACCCCAGGTCTCGGAACTACTTTTCCAATAAATCCTAATGGTCCTGAAACGTCAGTTGTGGTTGCAGTGTTGAATATCCAATTTTATAAATATTATATATGTACTCCTGTGATACAGCCATCACGTCGGGTTAACGTCAATGGTAGTTAGGTGCTATGTGCTGAAGTTGATTTATGTAGCAGTGTCCAGGGCAACCATCCTCACGAGTACCACCGCTTCATATCAGCGTATTACTTCTAGTGTTGTGAATACGCATGGTCCTGTTGGCATTTTTTGCAGTAGTGCAAACAACTGGCTTATAAACATATGCAACTGTTCAACATATGTCTGTGTGTGCCACATTTGTACATATATTTAGCATCATCATTTCATAATGTGTTGCTCAATAAAAAAAATTACTACAACACGGTCACCTTCCCTTCGCATAATGTCGATTCCCATGGTCTGCCATTTTTTCTGAATCTATGAACTAATCAAGTTCGCTTGCTGCAAACGCTAGATTGACTCATTGCACATCTAGACACGAAGTCAGCAAGTGACCTGCGAACACCAAGCTTTAAACCACTTCACGATTAGCTTAGTGGCGTAGCCAGAGGGTGGCTGGCACACCAAGCCCGTTTCACACACACACCCCTTTTTTTTTTTTCATTTTTGTTAAGGCATACAGAGCACAAAATGGCACTCGACCGCATCTGCCTGCCCGGCCCCCACTACAAATCATGGCAAGGAATATGGTCAAGCTGATTGACAATATATCATTTGCTCACTCGCAGCGTTACCACAAACAACTTGAGAGGATGACCCGAGAGAAACATAACGCAGCACGGTAAGCACGGCGGTCGTGAAACACGGCTGTGCACAAAATGAACACTGAAAAGATAAGCGCCGTACACTGACGAGCGAGCAGCACAAAAGGAGGGCAAGTGCTACGAAGTTTTGTTGTACTTACTGAACATCTGTATTTAGTAAACTCGGTGCGTTTGAAATCAATAGTTTGTTAGTGGCGCCTATAATGCGTCTCCCTTGGGCCCGTCAGTGTTTGGCGCTTATTCTTTCACTACTGTCTATGGATAGCCAACTAGCCCAACACTATATTCTGCTAAGCACAAAATGACAGCCGCTACTTACGCGTTATTCTTCAGCTTTTTGGAGATTCAAGCTAGTCCCACACTTTGCCGGTGCCTATGAACAGCACGTCACACCACACTCAAGTAAATACCGGCCGCAGCAGCCGTTGTCGAGACGTTTAAATGCGCCAAGAAACACGCGCTCCTATCGACGGCCAACCGGGTTAAGACCACAACCTACTGTATTTTAATGACCTGCCCAGCGAGCGAAGCGCCAGCATGCCCTTTCTGGTATAGGCGCCTGCCGTTATGCACCCTGTGGCGCTGCAACTTACCTCATCTTACCTTCTCAGTTCAGGCCACGGAGGAAGGAAAAAGGTAAGGAGAGGGCATGCCCAGCCGGCGCAGGGCGTAAAAAATGTGGCGGAAATGACATCATTTTCCGGGGGTGACGCCATATTCAGACGGCACAATGGCGGCGTTGTTATGGTTACGTGTTGCGCAGTGAAGCTGGTCTAGCAGTGAGCGGCCGCGGCTGGCGACGGAATGTGTGCCTCCCCAGGTCTCGTGCTGAGCCGTGGCGGACAATATCTGTGCTCTGTGCCGCGTTATTGGTTACGCAGTGTTCGTCTGGCTGTTACATTACTCTTAGCAACGTTTACAAATCTCTTTGTCCATCACGGGGTTTCAACAGTGCGTAGAACAAGTGCATATCCATGTGTCGTGCGGCGAATGACGCGGATGAAGCAGTTAGTGTTCAGCAAAATGGCGTTGGGCACCATGACGAAGCTGAATGACGACGAACGCCTTGCAGGTCAGTGACGGTTGTGCAGTGCTTGTGACAACGGACGACGCTGTTGAGCCCAGCAAGACGCCGTGAGGACCATGTGCACATACGTAGTTTCGTGTTGTGTGTGTACAGTAACAACTTGCATGTGCGTATTAAAACACCTTTTCTGTTCCGCTTGGTACACTCTCCACCAGCATTGCATGTAATCTCAACGTAACAGCAACCACGTTCAACTGTCACTAGCACCGTGCTCAAAGTCACCACGGTCGCAGAATGCTGACGCAGGTGAGTTTCACGCGGAACACGGACTCAGTGGCAGGACGCTGCGTCAGTCGCGGGGCGGAATGCAACCGTAGGAGGCGTACGACCGATCGTGTTGTCTGTACAGTTGCTGAATTAATGACGTGAAAGCACTCGCCGTTGTCAATGCATCTAGCGCGCGTTCTTTCGTAGTTGCTTCGTTGTCAGCGAGCTGTTACTCGTTGTTATTACTCGGACGAAGCGATTTCGCTGAAGGTGTCCCGCTGGCTCTGAGTGATGAGCCCAGTTCCATTAGTTTCGGATCGTCACGACACACGCGCTGCGTAGCCCACGTGCTTTCCGAGCCGGAGAGGGAGTCGCGCCTTCTGCTTCGCATTCATATGTAAACAAGAAAGGAGAATTTGCCTACTCAATATGGCCGACTTCCGGCTTCATCGCGGCTTCACAACGAGTGACGTCAGAGCCTCTCCTTACCTTTTCCTTCCTCCGTGGTTCAGGCTGTCCTTACCTTTTCAGTACAGGCTGTCAAGGTGGATGGACGTGTTTTTTGAGCGCTCCGGATCGACTGCGCAGATAAGTGTTTTTGCATGTTTGGAGCTTGTCTCTATAATTATAAGGCAGTGGTTGAAATCTTCGTAGCACTTATTTTAGGGTATACGGCTTTTTCGGGGGCCAGTCACCAGGTATTTATTAGTTAGTGCGGGTGTGTGTGTTTGAATTTTTTTTGTTGGTTTTTTTTCTTTTGCCACCCCGTTGGGGAGGTGCGCGTACATTGAACACGCAAATTTTTGTATTAGAGCTTGGACTTTCTTTTTTTTTTTTTCTCGTAGTGCAGGGCTCGAGTTTAGTGATTATCGAGTATAGGGACAATTGGTGTCAGAAAGGCATGGTTAAAAAGACTGTAAAGTGTTCAGGATGTGGAGTGAGTTTAAAAGTGGACCCAAGCGTAGAAGCGGATGGAGAAGAGGCTGACGCGAAGTGTAGGCAATGTGAGGTCGAGGAAAAAATGGAGAAAATGATGGTTGCCCAGAGTGAACTGCTGATGATAATCGCCAAACTCGAGACTGCGTTGGCGACAGAGCAAAAGAAAACGAGGGCAATGGGAGAAAGACTGAAGTCCGCCGAGGAAGTGCTAGCGAAGCTGAACAAAGAAGCGCCCTACCGAGAGAACAGTAGGGAACCGGCAACCAGAACGGTGGAGAAGGAAAAGCAAGCAAGCTTGGAAAAAACAGGTTTAGCCGGTTCAACTGTCGCAAGGCCCAGCTTCAGCGAGGTAGTGGTGGGGCAGGGAGGGAACAAAGCAGCCGGAGTCACAGGTGCAAGTAGCCCCCAGGTGCAGAACGCTCCAGCGGAAAAGTCACAGCATGTGATAATCGCCGGGGACTCAAATTTAAATCGATGCACAGAAGCCATCAAAGAGAGGGTAAGAGGTGACAAGAGGGTTGCAGTAGGGGCGTTCCCAGGACGCAAGCTGGAAGCAGTCATGAAGCAAGCGAGCGCAAAGCTCAAAACGACAGCTGATAGACGAAACCTCGTGATAATTTCAGGCGGTTTAAACGATGTCTTAAATGAAGATACAGCAGGACTAGCAACCACACTGGCGAAAGGCGTCGATGACATGCGCGCCACTTCTCCTAAGGTACAGGTAGTGATATGCACGATACCGGAGGTACCGGTGCGTGATAGAAACCTGCAAAGAGCGGTTGTCAACGCAAACCAAGAGATATGGCGGATGAGTCGAGAGAAAGGCTTTGAGGTGGTGGAAATAAACAGAAAGGTGCATAGTTGGGGTGGTTTTCAACGAGATAGAATTTACTTCGATGGGCGGCTGGGTCATGAGGTGGGTTGGCGACTCGCAGGACGCGCAGTAGCTTTTTTGGGGGGGCAAGCGAGCCCTTCGGGGTGCAGCATAGCTAGTAACGAAGAAAACAACCAGGCAGACCCTTCGACAGGTGGTATGGACAGATACGATTCCAAAGTGGCACCAATATCTAAGATAGGCAGAGTCCGGGGCATAAATAGACGTAGCCACGAACGCCGAGCCAATTCAGACATAGGGTATATTAACATGCAGGGTGGTAGGAACAGGCTGAAGTGGGAAGAGATAGAAGAACAGCTAAGGGAAGAGAGGCCGATGGTATACGGTTTTGTAGAAACACATCTCATGGACATGGAACAACCTCCAAACAATCCGGAATACGCGTGGGAGTATTGTAATAGAACAGAAGGCAGCAGAAAAGGGGGTGGTATTGGGGCATTCATTCATAAAAGTACAGACTGGCAAAGGGTCAAGCAGGAGTGCAAGGAACATTTATGGCTAAAAGGAAAAGTGGCAGGTCAAATGACACTCCTTGGTTTCGTGTACTTGTGGACGGGAGCAAAGGCCAGAGAGGAAAACCAGGCAATGGTAGAGTGTATATCAAAGGACATTCGGGAGTTAGGAAGAGAGGGCGAGATAATTATACTAGGAGACATGAATGCGCACATAGAAGACATTGATGGGTATACCGACCCGACAGGCAAAATGATCATGGATATGTGTGAAAGGCTTGATTTGATCATTTGCAACAGTACCGAGAAGTGTGAAGGGCAAATAACATGGGAGGTAGGAAGGCTTCAGTCGACGATAGATTATGCACTGATGTCACATAGGATGTGTGATAAGCTCAGGGAAATGCACATAGATGAAGGTGGCTCCAGAAGTCTGGGTAGCGATCACAAACGTATCAAGCTAAGTTTTGGAAGAGCAGTGAAAGTGGGAAGGAGACAAGATGAGCAACTACAGGAAAATTTTTATCCAGAAAGGCAAATTGAAATAGCCAATAAACAAATTGAGAAAGTAATCACGGAGGATAATAAGACAGTGAGGACATACACGAATCTAATTAGACTCTTTGAGCTAGAGCTTGCTAAGACGCGTGACAAGTCACCCCGGAAAAGAAGACACAAACCCAAAAGTTGGTGGGAGGAGGAAGTTAAGAGAGCCATAGCAAAACGTCAGGAAGCCTCTAGGGAACACAGACATGCTAAGCAGCGGGGTGAACCGACAGATGATGTGGAAAGAAAATGGGCAACCTTTCTAAGCTGAAAAAGGGATGCATCCCTTCTGATCAATGAAAAGATTAGAAGGAAGGGAGCTCAGTGGCTGGCCGAAGTACATAAAAAAGATAGAAACGCAGCTGCAAAATTTTGGAACCATCTAAACTCCCTAAGAAATGAGACGAGCCTAGAGCAGAGTTTTATAACTACAACCCAAGTTGCTAGGCTAGAAGGGGACGAAGCTATTGAATATATAAGAACAAGGGTGACAGAAAAATTTCAACAAAGAAGTACTTTATGCACCACAATAGACAAAGACGAATCAAGTGGTGCAATGGCTCCATTTTCACAACAAGAGTGGGAAAGGGCTGAGAAAAGGGTTCCCAGTAGTACATCAACAGGCCCAGATGGCATTTTAATTAGGCTGATAAAAACATTAGGTCCGAAGTCTAAGCAGGCTTTGAGAGAGGCAGTGAGTACAATAATAATCGATGGTGAAGTTCCCGATGGATGGAAACTTAGCAGGATGAGCATGATCTATAAAGGAAAGGGGGACAAAGCTGACATAAACAACTACCGTCCTATAACAGTGACATCAGTGGTCTACAGGCTGGCGATGCAAATTATAAAGGAAAGACTGCAGGCGTGGATAGAGGATGAGGGGGTGCTGGGGGAACTGCAGAATGGGTTTCGGAAACACAGGAGGTTGGAAGACAATCTGTTCTCACTGACGCAGTGCATCGAAATAGCAGGAAAAGAACACAGGCCCCTGTGGCTAGCATTTTTGGATATCAAGGGAGCATACGATAGCGTAGTTCAAGAGGAATTGTGGGGAATACTGGACACACTAGGCGTGGAACATGTAGTCACTAATCTTTTAAAGGGTGTCTATAAAGGTAACAAGGTAGTTATAAAGTGGGAAAAACAGGTATCCAAGCCTGCAGAGGTAAAACGGGGGCTTAGGCAGGGGTGCCCCCTGTCACCCTTATTATTCATGATGTACCTACAAGGATTAGAGGCAAAATTAGAGGGAAGTGGACTGGGCTTCAACCTCTCTTTAGTCAAACAAGGAAAACTTATTGATCAGGCACTACCAGCATTAATGTACGCAGATGAT